TACTTATATTCAGCAAGATGTCACTTAGAATACTTTCTAATTTACTGTTGTCTCTTGTTTTCAGTCTTTGCCAACTATGATACTGAAACTGTTACAATACGATGGTTCAGATTGGTTTGTTCCTTTCAGATTGACAATTGAAAATTCAATCTATACACATTCTCACTCATAATCCTTTTTTTGCAAGTCGAATCACAATTCACTAACATTTATTCATTCCATATAATATTTGTCAGTAGTACAAATGTGTTGAGAAAAAAACAACAAATAAACAAAACTAAAGTACATTTACCTGATTTTTTTTCATAATAGTTTATTGTTATTTAACTAGTTAAATATTTATGTAAATTTTCAGTAAAATTCATTGCGTTTTTGATGAAAAAAAGATTGTTTTTATACACAAGTGTTATATGTAGATTGTAACTCAATTACTTGATAACTAATATGGATACTACCTTGTATAATTGTGATAAAATATTTAAATTAGCAAGTAATCAATAATCCTACTAAATATTTATTATCTAATATACACAAAGTCTATCTCGGTAAGATAATGTGAAGAGCCAGAATTGAATCAGGAGAGCAAGACAAGCGCCTTCATAACTCTGAAATCAGGGTGGAGATCAACAGCACTCACTACAATTAACAAGGTCCGAATTTCTGACACTGACATCATACCTGTGCTTGACACATTTCCAGCAAGTTATAGTCTTTATATCAGCGCTTACTGTGATGATACCAAATGATTGCCCAATAAATATGAGGTGGGAAATAGAAATAGACTGGACCTACCTTCAGGAGATATTCAAGTAACACAAGACGTCAGTTCCTTGAGTGGGGGGCCCTAACGAGAAGGGAAGAATTGGGTATCGAAGAGTGAAATGGAGGAGACCACATGAAGAGGAAATGGAAGCTCGTAGACAGTCATGAAACAAGATGAAAATGACTACAGAGGAAAGAGTGAAGTGAAGATGTGCTTTTGAAGCCTTATGTTCCACTCGGGATCCAGGAAGAGAATAACAATATAATAATTTTGAAATTTTCTTATATTCTTAAGGCTGAACACAAAAACACCCAAAAAGTTAACTTCCCACTCGTGTTTTGATTTTTAGTAATTAGAAGGTGAGGAAATTATACGCTTTGGGGCTCAAATAAAAATAAGTGATCTGAAGTTACAAAATATTAATAATATTCATCAAAATCCTGAAAACATTATCTTGAGTATTTTCTTACTTCTTTAAGTAAATACTGCGAACTCTTATCTAAGATTCTTTTCAAAATAAACTAAACATTAGTATGGTATGTAAGTTAAATATAGGGCATGATCACTGAGTACTCCTATTTCTGAAGTCATTTTGCCAAACGGTATATTTCCTGATTGTATAAGCATTGCTTATTGTACCCACCTCACACATCAGTCAAACAGCTTTTTTCGGTAAGATATTCGTTTACGTAGTCTTTGACTGTGAGATTGATACATGTAACCGTGGACTGTATAGCTGAGGTTTAAGTTAAAAATCAGTGGTTAAATTGCATTATTAACACAATCTAACACCACTTGTGAAAGCATTCAGTGTTTTCTCCTTGTTTTCGTAGTATTCATATTTGTCTGATGTAACTCTCTATCTCTTCCGATCGTTTTATATGCTGAGCTGAATTGTCAGAACTTGAATTGACTCAAGTTTGTACGGTATCGATGTATCTGTTTATTTAACTGACTGATTAAGTAGAAAAAATTCTCTGCCCCGGAAAAATAAACATCTAGACTCTAACCATTTGAAATACAATCCCTTAGATTTGTCTTCATATTGAACTAACGGTTTTTGATATCTAATATTATCACTAGTGTCATAAGTCACTAGGTATATGCGTGTAATTGATGCCAGCACCAAAACAACCAAAGCAAGAAGGGTACCTAGTAACAATAGTAAGACCTCTTCTTTTTAGCGTTATTCCGCTTACTGCAGCACCTATTTAACTGTCTGCTTTGAATTAAATCGGATACATTACTGATGACTTCACCTCTAGACGGCAAGACCTTCTGGTGTTAGATCACTGCATTGTGGCTAGTGTTTGATCTGAGTGGTTTCAAACTAGTCACGTTGATCTGCAATACGTAATTTTGTTTACGTGTCAAGAACATCATATATTATGATCTGAATACTTTTGGCTTTCAAAGAAAGGCATAGTGAATTCTCCCCTGGAACTGTTTAACCTGAAAACAATATATCTAAATTTATTAATAATTGCCACTAATTGGATTCAGTACATACTGCGCATTACAATAGGTAAGAAAAGGCGAAGAGTGAACAATGAATTTATATGCATAAAACCTTAGAATAATTCAAAGCTAAAGAAAAATATAGCTCCTCTAAGTTTAATAGTCTAATTAGAGGTAAAGGTAATTTCGATAATAAGGCGTATTATTAGGATTTTCCAGCTTAGATATTGAAGACTTATACAGAATTTGGGTTGCCTTTAAGGAAAGCGTATAAGTAATACTTCTCTTGTATATCCAAACCGGAGAATTCATACCAACCGCAGCTGTCGATTTCAAAGCATTATATGTTGAACTATACTACCTGCCATCATTATTTATTTTATTTCTTTCCGTTCTGAGTGGAACATAGGACTTCAAGCTAGAGGTTTGAAGTTTCTGTAGTGGTGGTTTTATTTTTACGAGTGGGGTTGCCAGTCTCACGTTCAACATCCCCTCTTTGCAGGGCCAGATAAGGGAGTTTTAGGAGTGCGTCGGCAGAGGATCGAACTCCGGACTACCCGAGTGGCTGGTGAGCATTCTACGTCTACGCCACTAACGCAAAAGTAAAGGGCGCACCCGGGTAAATGTAAAATTATGTATATGCAAGAAGTTGCGAAGTTTGTACAAAACGATTATGAGTCGAAGTATTGTTGTCCATGGGTATCAGGAGATTTTGGGGGAATCAAAACTACTAGAGATCAGTCATTTTTCAGTATTACTATACCAAATCGGCTTTCCAAAATAGCAATGTTGCTTAATGTTGTACTGATTTGTGAAGAATATGAGAAATGGCGAGATTAAAGTGTGATGCATGTATAAAGTCTGAGGCTGTTGATGTGATTCATATGACAAGGTGCATTTTACCTGCGTGTGCCTAACTGACCGACCTACCGCCTTCCGAGTTGGCGTACACATAAGTGTGGAGAAAAGAAACATATTGATAGTAAAATAAATGGAATCGAAGATACTACATAAGTATTAGTGAAGATTTTCAGGATCAGAAAGACAACAAGGAATAAATTCATCTGATCTACCGAGAACAACTTCGTTCCGTATCACCAAGAGTCTGAATCCATTGATTCTTATCATTTTTAGGACGTCAGACAGGCGTTCTGCACCTCTCTATGTCGTTCGTATCAAAGACCACAGACTTCATGGACTGATGCTTTGTCTTGATTTGGCCCTTGTTTAGCTTAATCCAACTTCAGATTACACTGACAGTAAAGTAGCACAAGACTGTTCACAGTGCAGCATTATGTATTCATCTTCTATAACTTTCAAAACTATGACTATCTTTTACCAGTGATTATTTAATCATTCATTCTCTGATGGAATTCATATTATTTTAATATTGACAGATTCCTTTCTGTGTGATTTGCTTACAATGTGACTACTTGGACTGGATCAACTTTAATACAAGGGTTGATGTTTATTCACTCTGTCACTTTAAAAGATTTTTTGGCTCCACCTTATGTTCAATAGTCTTTTTTCTCACAATTCCATAACGTAAGTGGCTGAAGAACATTCCAAGGTGTTATTTATTTGCAAAAATTTCTTCTTCACCTAACTGGTGTAATAAATGCTTAAAATTGGCACAATTTTTGTATCTAAGTAACGTTATTCTATTGATTACTTTAACTTGTGTGGAATAATCATGTCTCTTGTGCCATCTTCAGTTGTTTCATGCAAATTCAAAGAGTACACGTTTGCGTACTAAGACTTTTAAACTATCTGTAGTATATTCTGTCTGCATAGATCAACCACTTTTAAATAAATTCACTTTCTAATAATGTATTGCATTCATTCGTCATGATCTGCGTACTTTTTCATTATCATCCAAGTTAACTTCTTTAAGCCCAAGCTTATTTCGCCTTCTCGAGGTATACACGTTTGTCTCCAAAAGAAAGCCATGAACTGTACACATCTTAAGGTTTTTCAAACCATTACATTCATTAGATTACAGGAATAATTTATTTTTTTCCCTTACAGCAAAAATTTTCCATCAACAAAATAGACCAAACCAGTTAAATTAATAATAATTTTTGTTAAAACATAATTTCATTCTTCCAGTTGTTTTTGCCAAGTTTTAGCAACTTATTGCACAAATGTTAAGTATTAATCAATTACTGCGCATATGATCACAGAAAAGCCAATATGTCAAATATTTTAGGTCAGTTAAATTGTTGATTAAATCAGTTGTAATTGTCTATCAGACAGAATATTTATTCATTATATTCCATCATTCGGAAAACTGGTGAAATATTTCTGGTTGAATATTATTCTCATGGTTAAGCAGTGTAGTACGTACAATTTAAGAAAATGCCAGAAGCCTACAAAAGCCATGTGAACAATTCTCAAGTGACCTTCAAAAATTTAAATTATTAGCTCAATCGACTGATGATATGGGTAAATTATCAATTAAATTTAATGTGGCGCCAATCAGCTGTGATTTTTAGCTCTGCATATTAACTTCTAGTTAATTAAATTATCCAGAATTTTACAGGTCAAAAATTGACAAACATTTTGAACACCTAACATTATTTGGTAACACAGTTAGTTCATTCGACGCACACACTCAGCTGATACCAAGGTCACAGGCTGAGCATAAGTCTCCAATCAAAATTGAGCGAGACTTACTAGTGAGTTCAACTTTCTATCGAGTTGTGCGCATAGTTTCGGCTAAAGTGCACACATAGACACACATACAGTTAATCAAAATAACCATTTCTCTGGCCATTTACTGTGATTTGTTATTATTTTCGTTATGCCAGTATCTGATGTTAATCAAACTGCCGTCAGCCTGACAAACTTAGAAATCAAAGATATCACGAGTTTACAGTTAAACTTGCCACAGAGTGTAACCACAATTACAAGATCGACGAAGAGTTCCACAATGTCTACATCAACAAACGTCCTAGGAAAACAAGGAAATCAAAATGCCGCCGCACTTTCTGCTGAAGAAGCAATCGTTAATCTACTTGAACGTACAAAATATACTTATGTACAAGAGAATGGTCAACGACGTTATGGACCTCCTCCTAACTGGAAAAATGAAGCGCCTCCAAGAGGCTGCGAAGTATTTATCGGAAAAATTCCTAGAGACTGTTTTGAAGATGAACTTATACCCGTATTCGAGAAGATTGGACCAATTTACATGTTTCGACTAATGATGGAATTTAACGGAACGAATAGAGGATTTGGATTCTGTGTGTACACAAACAGGGAAGATACAAAACGTGCAGTTCAAGAACTGAATAATTATGAAATCCGTAAAGGCAAAACCATTGGGGTATGTCTGAGTGTGGATAACTGCCGTCTTTTTGTCGGGGGTATACCCAAGAATAAAACAAGAGAAGAGATTCTATCAGAAATGAAACGAGTAACAGAAGGTGTTAAGGATGTTATATCATATCCAAGCATAACTGATAAAACAAAAAATCGTGGATTTGCATTTATTGAATATGGAAGTCATAAAGCTGCTGCAATGGCAAGAAGAAAGTTGCTTCCAGGACACATTCATTTATGGGGTCAGCAAATAGCTGTTGACTGGGCAGAACCAGAACGAGAAGTTAATGAAGATATAATGTCAAAAGTGAGTAACTTTTAAAATTAATTCTGTGATAACGGTTACATAGAACATAATCATTTCCGTAATATAAAATTATTACAGTACATTGACTTTAATTTGTCGTACATACGTAATTTGGGCACTATTGAAGTAGCCAAGCAGTTGTGAGTTAAGCACAACAGCTCTTATGCCAGATGTGAACTATGCGTCCACAAATATAACTGCAGAACTCTTAAATTACCCCATGCTTTAACAAATATTCCTAGTGGTTTGGCTTAAGTACAGTTAGTGGTACCTTCAACAGTTGGACTACTAAGGTGTTTAATTTATTGAAAATGAATTTATTTTCATTTTTAACCTTAAAGTTCTTAAAACAATGTTGATTTAGAAGAAGATTAAATAAAATCTGTCTACAACTCAGTAGTCAACAGGAAACTCCACGAGTTAATTAATATTATCAGTGTGATTACTCTATCCTAGAAAAGTTAATCAGTTTTTATTTTGATAATTTCAGTATAATTTGAATATACCTTAATTCTTGCTCTTCTATTGCTTCAGGTAAAAATTCTATACGTTCGTAATTTAATGTTATCAACAACTGAAGAGAGTCTTCGTGATTCATTTATCAGAGCTGCTGGTGGTGATGCTAACAGTGTTGAAAGAGTGAAAAAGATTAGCGATTACGCCTTCATTCATTTCAGGGAACGTGAACAAGCTGCACAATGTTTACTTGCTCTAAATGGTAAGCAATGGTTATTTGATTAGTACTGCGTGTTATGCACCTTTACAAGTTTCTGTAGCAGTGTTTATTTTACAGGATGGGGTTGCTAGCCTCATGCCCAACCTTTCCTCTTCACCAGCATTATTTCTGGCTTAGCGAGGTAAAGGAGTGCGTCGGCCGGGGATCGAACCCCGGACCATGTGCATGGTCGCCGAGCGTACTAACCGCTATGCCACCGACGCACACCTTTACAAAGGTATCTTATATTTAACTGAACATTTTAATACAAATAGACAACTATACTTTAAGGCATTCGAACTATTTTCAGTCGATAGTATTAGATCAAAACAGTAAAGAGGGCAGTATAAAATTTGTCTGTTCATCTGAATTTAATTATTCACTTCACTAGACTATATTGTTACTTGATAAAAAAACAGTTTTACTAATTATAGGCAGTGTAAAAACTTGAAGTGTTGCACTTTGTTGAGAAGTTCAACGGCAAAATCTCCTTCAGTTTCAGAAATGTAGTGTGTTATGTTTCCTATAATATTGGTCAATTTAATTTTTGAGCTCTGTGGTAATTACAGGAACTTGTGGCGATTATTTAATTCAGTTTAGATTTCCCATCCGGATGATGAATTCGAAATAGAACGAAATGCACATTCTGGATCCCATTGCTAGTCACCATCTACCAATTGACTTCAACTTATGACGATTTTTCAAGTTTACGATGAAGAGGTGTGTAGCTAATCATCACTGGCGTCTTATTTTAAACAAGAATCACCAAAGTTTTTGGATTATGTTAAGTTCACTTTATTTGGTTCATCTCTACTTATCCACATATATAAGCTATCATGAATCTAGGGAATCAAGCGTAAATGCTACACAAAATTCACAATTATACTTAACAGATTATTATTTATTTATTATTTTATTCCTTTAAGTTACCAGTGGCTTCAAGCTAGAGCATTGAAGTTTTTGTAGCAATGGTGTTTATTTTTACGGGATAGGGTTGCTAGCCTCATTCATGCCCAACCTCCCCTCTTTACCAGTCTTATTACTGGCTTAACGAGGTAAAGGAGTGAGTCGACCGGGGATCGAACCCCAAATCATCTGTGACGCATTACTTAACCGACTGCAAGAGTAATCTAATGATGAATTTTAATACTCGGTCGGTCGGTTGGTCGGTTTCCGACATAGAACTTTTCACCGATGTACTGCAGTTCAAGTCGCCACACTCCATGTAGAACAAAAAGCAAGAGAAGAAAGTAGAAGAAATACATATTAGAGACAGAAAACAGAGATGTGAGACAAAGGAATAGTAATAACGGAGAACAAAACAGTTTCATTGGAAATCATAAGTCACAAGGAGTGAATGCATCTGCGCTAGCCATTGAGAACAATTTTGAGCCATGTCACCAATTGTTTCCAACCATTGGTTTTTACCGTCCCGAGGACCCCAACCAGTCAGGAAGTCTACACCTTCCTACGTGGCTTAGACTAACTGTTGTGGATTTCATTGACTGGTGCCATGTTTTCGTTTGACTGCCGCTAGCTCTTTTCCAGCCTGGCCCTATATCAGCTAACATAGCCCGTTGTCGAGGAAGGCGATGACTAGGCATACGTAACACATGTCCCAACCATCTCAGTCGATGTAATTTCACAGCCTCGTCGATTGATTTCCCCTCCTTACCTAGCACTTGACGCGTAACCTCAATATTGCTCACCTTATTATACCACTTCACGCGGGAGATAGAACGCAGACAACTATGATCGAACACAGATAATACTAATTTTGGTTGACATAGTGAATGACAGCAACTTGAGATGGATTCACTACCTGATCATTACAGTGAAATTAGTAAAATAGGAGTTGAGAAACTGCACTGTTTTGTAAATAATTACTATTTCCATGTGAATACAAATATATATAATTTTGACTTCCGAATAAAAAATTACTTTTGTATATTTTTGGTTGCATCATACTGTTTTGTCCGTTTTGTTATTTTGAATGTATGTATTCACGAATTCACTAGCCGAGGTAGCTTCTGAGGAATTCGATACACTAAGCAAGTACTTGCACTGTATATAATTCTTTTGATGAACACACTTTTGTGTTTTTGTAAAATAACTGATCAATAAAAATGAAGTTGTTAGAGGGTAGGTATTATTATCATTATTATTATTATCAGTTGGCTATCGAACTTTTTTCTAATGCACAAAAAAGAAAGAAAATAAGTGTGTACAGCATTTTACACATGAAAATACTCAGCTTATCTATTTTATATGCAAATGAGTAATTGCATGTGTGTTTCGTCGTTATTTTTGTTTTATCTCTGGTCTATATTGTTTTAGCGAAAAATTACAATTCTGTAGGTTTTATTATTATTATTATTCAAAGTATCTAGACAAGCAGTAACTAGTGTTCAGCTCAAATAATCTCTCTTATTAGTGATCTGACCACGTTGAATGCGTGTTTCACTTTCAGTATTTCTTCTTCTATTCAATGTGAATCCAAGCAGTAATTATTATGTATAACAAATGAATGATTAGTGCATAACATTTATCTGTAGACACCTGAATAGTAAAATCAATTTGTACAAAGACTACAAAAAATAAAAAAACAGAGAGAGAGAGAGAAAGGACATGAAAACTATCAATAATCACGTAAAATATAAGATGTATAAAGGTGTGTAGTAATTTGCTAATTGCATATATATTTTAATGCAATAGTATGTAGTAGAGTAAGTAAGCGCAGCATTTTTCATATCTCGATATTACGCCTTATCATTTGCATATCGTGCAACTAAAGCTACTAACAAATTCTCTTTTCACACTGTAGTTGACTAAATCAGGGTTAGTATTGTCTCTAATAGAGACTATGATAAGTGAGTGTGTATGTTCCACACTGAAAATAAACAGAATCTTATGACACTAGTATTTCTTTTAAATGTGTTTTTTTTTCGTTTGGAATTCATGACTGTGATTAGCATATAACCATTATTCATTTATTTAAGACATGTCTATTAATATTATCACGAAAGGTGTCGCATTAAGTTACATAACCCAAGTATACTATTGTTGAATCAACCATGAATACTAACTTTTTCTGTTGTTGATAAATTACGATATAAGTTACAATAAATATGTAAAAGGAATGGAACAGTTTAAAAACATTAACTGGAAGGAAAAAGGCAGACAGCTGTGGTGTAAACATTCTAGGGGAAATAAATTCATCCCCAGTCTAACAGTCCATCACTATTGTAATTCTGACTTATATTCTTCATGAATATTGCTTATATTTATGATGATTTGTTGTTAAAAATATATAGTGTAGCTAATAGCTAAAACCTGACCTTGGTTTAACGCCGATAAGTTACAAAGATCATGATAATAGAGTCCTTTTCTATAGAGGTTTGTTAAGTACTGAGCCTTTTGAAACCTGAAGCACTTCACAGAGGAAATGATTACTGGATGTTATAGGATATCATCATGAACTGACATCGGTTAGAGAACCACTGGAAACCCCCAGGGAGTACTGGACAGCTGTTTCGTCCTAGTTTGGGACTCTTCATCAGTACGCACCCACCAGCAGGGTTCGAACCCAGGACCTTCTGGTTACAAGGCGAGCTCATACACCATTCGGCCACTGCGACCTGATCCAGTGGCTCGTGAATTCCAGCTTCTGCCAATTTATTATATGGCGCGACTACTAGCCAGTGTCATCGGCGAATGTCTCTCCTTACTCGAAGTGAAGTTTTTGGAACGGTTAACTAGTCGATGTTGTGAATTAGAAAGGAGAGTGAAAAGATGTATTTCACAAATAGGATGAATATCTTTGTAGTAAATTTCTTAGAGCATCTTGTTTGTAAAAACACCTTAAAAACATTGAATATCGCTGACTGAAACTTCAGGTGACATGTCCTAGAAATCAGAAATATATCACTTTTTTATTTTCCTCGAAGTCCTAATATTTAGTGCTTACTTCGTTGCTTGGTCACAAGTAAAATTTTGTTTGCTCAGTTAAAAAAACTTTTTCCCCTTTACATATTTGTTGAGTTACCTTTTTCCGTTCTGTTAAAAGCTGTTGCAGCAACACTTTCAACCTACACTGACGATTAAATATCCTTGGACGTCAGTTCAGAGTACACTTCTAACTCACTATCTATATATCTACGTATGAACATTTATTGGCGTCTCTCAGTACTAGTTAATTGTTTTTAAATTTACACCTTAAATGCTCTCGAACGGCTTGAAAATTAGAAAGTTGGTAACACTATGAATCTCCCCTATAATTAGTTACTTTTTCTGCATCCGCAAAGTGGTGTTAGGAGTTTGTTTAACTTCAGGTTTGAAATATGTCGAGTGATACTTTTCCTCATTCAGGAAAAGTAATTTTATCTGTGTCTAAATAATTACTGGGATGGAAGAAAGAACTTGAATCAATGTAGAATTTAATCTCTCATCCCCAGAATGGTAAGTCCAATGGGTGAACAATGATTTTGTTGGTAGTTTGTCTAATGATAAATCAGAGGATGAAAGTGATTGGCTGGTTTTAGTTGTTTATCTTCGCTTACAGAAATCTTTAAAAGACTAGTTAAATATGATAGAAAAGATTTGTAGCTCAGGTGGATGACTAGTTAAATACTCAACCATCTAAAATCCAGATGTTTATTCATAACGAACAAGTCCGTCAGTGAGGTTATAATTCTCTGTCGACTCAGGTGATTGGTAAATGAGTTTCATATATCTAGTAACCATCACTGTTGAGGAATTTTGTTAATATAACACGCTAGCAGCGATTATTGATATAAGAATAAAACTTGCGTACTGTATAATTCCATTATGGATAAAGTCTCACAGTGTTATACAGTAATGTTTGCTGATGACGTTTCAAGCACAATTTATTGCTCATAATCATATCAAGGTACTCACACAACTTTCTAATGTGGATGACACTTTCACAGTGTTAAAAACAGAACATATCTCTCTGTAGGGTAAAGAACCCTGTTGACCCAATTAGACAAAATAATATAACTTACAAAATACCCTGCAATGACTGTGCGTAAGGTCAACTACATAGGTCAAACTAGTAGGTCGGGAGTAGTCAGATTGTCGGAACATAAGAATTTAGCTAAGGTAAGAATGGTTTACCCTGAGAAGATAAGTAATCTAGAAAAAGCTTAGAAATTGCACTGCATACATTAACACACAACCACACAATAGGGTGGGAGAGGGTCAAAATTCCAAATAGTAATATGGGTAGATGGAGAGAGAGAGATTGATTACAGAATCCTTGTTCATCGAATCTGCACCCAACACATGCAATAGGAATGACTCATCACTCATGCCGGAAATATGGAAAATACTACTACCAATCAAATCAAGCGATGGAAAATAATGAAATTATATAAACGAAGTTAGAAAGTTGTGTGAGTAGTGCCTTGATATGATAATGAGCAATAAATTGTGCTTGAAACGTCATCAATAAATATTACTATATAACACTGTGAGACTTTATCAAAAAAAATTTTACCCATAATGAAACTAGCAACGATTACATAATAAAATAACAACAATCCATGAAACCGTTTCCTGACTATTTAAGCTAGGTAGGAAGATGTAGTTCTCAGTAAGTTAAAAACAGTTATTTGAGGAGTCTCACTGATTCCACCAAACATTTTCATAGTGGTAGGGAAATATTTACTTTTTACTCTCGAGATTTTAGGAATTCTCATCGGTTTTTTAGACTGATGGGATTTAGATTAGTAGTAAATTCTCACTTCACTTGCAGAAAATGTCACTTCATTCCATTCCATTCTATTTCGTTTTCTGTGTCTTCTTTCGAAATTCAGTAACTGGGATTGTATGTAAAGAATGTGATAACAAAAACTGTCTCAACCCACAAATAATCATTTCCAAGGGTAGATAAGTCTTTATTTCAAAAACACGTGTCTGAATGCCTGAATTGTGCTTTTCTATAAAAGAACATCACTTATCGTTTCGGTAGAGAAGTTTGACACTGTACATTTTACTCTTATGATATCAAAGTTAAATGAGTATTACAATACGGTTTACCTAACCTGTGGTGTATTAGTGTTAACAGCTCAAATAACCAGTCAGTCCCCTTAGTCTTGTTCATCTACTCTTTCTAAGTAAATAATTTTCTACATAAGGTTTTTTTCCAAAATGTCTTTGTCGAATAAATGTTGTAGACAATAATTCATTATATATATGCCTAATATCTTAGCTAATGATTGAAATTCAGTATTATTCAACCACTAAGGTACACGACTTGACGTCTTATTTCATATTGCTTAAACCGAGCCAACCGAAAAACAACTGTAAATTTTTATTTGATTTCTCTAAAAGCACGAGATTATATTTTTCATGGTCTTCTGTTAACTGAAAGTGAATTTTTAGTAGGACCAGCATTTCATAATCGGCAACTGTACGAATTAAACAGTAATTTCTTGATTTTGAATGACATCGAAAGCAAAAATCCTGGAGTACTTCTTTGTAGATATTATGAAATGAAATGGTAGATGACTATTTAATTTGCCTGTACTTTATTACTGTGTTACAGACATGAACTGTTTATTGCATTGACAGTAATCTTGAAACAAAAGCTGAGATTTACAGCATAGCTCATATATGTAAAGCGTCAGTAGAAAACAGCTGAAATAAAGTAAAAACATAGCAGAAAAAATTACTGATTGAGGTCAGAAAGTACCTATAATAGCTTTTAGCTTTCAGGAGGACATCTTAATACAATAGGGTGCGGTCAAGAATTGAGAATAGACAATATTATGTCACTATAAGTTTATTGATTCTAAAGAAGTTGTGGAGGAGTAAACAGTGAACTTTTAAGCAAATTTGACTCCTATAAATAACCCATGTCGACACATCTGTAAACTCTAATTCACTTGTAGAAATTATCGTGGATACGTTCACTTCTGAGTGTTCTAACATTTTCTTTTACTTATAGATTTTACCCAATCACCCGAATTAACCATATGACAAACATCTGTTCGAGGAAACGTTGAGAAATCTTAAAGCCACTGAATTGAACTAAGATTTAATTGGGTTGTAGTTATGTACAAAACTGTAGGCGAAGAAAAATGCCAGGTTAATCGGAACAGTTCACCCAGTTAGATTGAGTCATGCAGCTCCTGTTTGTCAGGCATATTAAGCCACAAATTTGTTCTAATTACAACACCTATCGAAATGAGTCACAAATAAATATAAGGAGAAAGAAGTACCTATTAGGTGTTAGACACTACATTTATTGAAATACAACATTCCTAGTAGTCTTGGTCTTGTAGGGTGGTGTAGACCGTCTGGCTGAGGTCCTCAAGATGTTAAGAAACAATTGTTGGAGAATGCTGATGTTACAGTGCGAAATCTCCAATGGTACATACATATGCAGACCTTTTCATCATCTTGGTCTTTTTGAAGATCTTTGCTAATCTTCAGCTTATTATTCTTTGTTCCGTACGTAATTAGCATTATAGTCTCAATAAATTTTTTTTCTTTACCCTCATGTGCGCTTTTTCGAGATGTGTGGCAGTTTCAACTGATGCGCCTTTGTACAAATTTGATCACTTATAAGTTAGTCATTGATATAGGAATAAAACTTGGGCACTGTGGTAGAGTATTATTCCATTATGGTTAAATTTTATTTTGATAGTGTCTCACAGTGTTATACAGTAATATTTACTGATGACGTTTCGAGCACAATTTATTGCTCATAATCATATCAAGGTAATCACACGACTTCCTAAATTCATTTATATAGTTCCATTGTTTTTCACTTGATTTGATTGGTAGTATTATTTTCAGTATTTCAGGTATGAGTGCTGAGTCATTCCCATTGCATGTGTTGGGTGTAGATTCAATGAACAAAGATTCAGTAATCAACCTCTCTCTCCACCTACCTAGATTACTTTTTAGAATTCTAACTCTCTCCCACCCACCCTATTGTGTGGTTGTGTGTTAGTGCATGCGGTGCTGAGCTTTTTTTCTAAATCACTTATCTTCTCGGGGTCAACCATTCTTACCTTAGCTAAATTCTTATGTTCCGACAATCTGATTACCCCCGATCTACTAGTTCGACCTATGTAGTTGACCTCACAGTCATTGCAGGGTATTTTGTAAGCTATATTATTTTGTCTAATTGGGTCAACTGGGTCCTTTAACCTACAGAGCTTGTCTCTGAGTGAGTTTGTAGGTTTGAATTCCACCCTAATTCCTGCTTTATTAAGAATCCTACATAGGGTCTCAGATGTCCCCTCTTTGTATGGTATAACTGAAGATGACTTATATTCTCTCTTATTTATGTTATTATTACTAGTTTCACAATTCTTTTTATTTTTTTGCTAGTAGGATGTATGGTACTATTAAAATACAGAAGCCAGGTTATCCCATAAGACCAATTGTAGATTTTAGAAATACCCCTACATATGAATTATCAAAACATTTAGCTCTAATATTATGCCCCATTAGAAATCGTTCAAATTCTAGACTAACTAATTCATATGAGATGAAAAAAAAATAAACTAAATGACATACAACTAGATAATGATGAAACAATGGTTAGTTTTGATATAACCAGTCTTTATACTAATATACCAGTCAATATGGCCTTAGAAGCAGTTAAAAAAGAACTAACTGCGGATCCTGAACTCACTCATAAGACATAGCTGTCCATTGAAGAAATTATTTTAGGGATTCAGCTATGCCTCACATCTACTATATTTAAATTCCAAGGCAAAATATATAGGCGAACTGAAGGTGTAGCAATGGGATCACCAATATCCCCTATCGTAGCAGATATATTTATGGGTAGCTGGGAAAATAGGCAATTTATCCTCTTAAGCTTTGTATATTCTAATATTTCTATCCCCCATCGTCATGAATTTATTGAGTTATTGTTTGAAGAAAATGTTTCATCGTGTAACTCACAGGATCTTATGTCTGGCTTAAGTGTATCAGTGCAATTCTAGACCTAGTGGCACAACATTAAGGTGGCATTAGATTTTATCAAGTGAACAGTAGGGAGTTTCAACAAACTTTAACGTCTGTTATAATAAAGCCACATCAAGGCGTTTCTATATTACAGTGGACTCTTTAACTTTCATTCAGACGATGCTTACATTGGGATATTAAAGAGTATAAGGTCTCATGTCTAAGGAGAACCACTTCATTAATTGAATTTTTTTCAGTTTGTCGATTTATCAACTTTTTATTCCATTTTCCAATTGCCTTTCACTTTTCTCACCTGTTATAATATCTTTTCACGGGTGTGTCCTATCTGCTTTGAGGCAAAAACTGATGATTAAATGCTCATGAGTTTGCAGAAGCTTACATCTTTTATTCCGCTAACTAATTTTGCCTGAATGTTCAGACTACCTAAGTCTTTCTAATTAAGATCTTAAACATATTCTTCTGACTTAATATTTGAACCTTTTTTCATAATTCGTAGTTTGAACCATCGCATAATTGAAAAATCAGTAAATCCATATTATTTTATTTGCTCCGATATTCACACGAAGGTCCAATTTTTTCCTCTGTATCTTGCAGATACGTACATTGATGGCTCGAAGATAGAAGTTACATGGGCAAAACCTGTCGATAAAAATGAAGTAAACGCACGTCAACCACCTTCTCGAACCTCTGGAAAATTAATGAACGAATTGGTTTTAACAAAAGACCAGAATATCGCCGCAGCAGCAGCAGCTGTTGTTGCAGCTGGAGGTATTTTGCCTCAGTTGGATTCGGCTACACAATTCTTCCTACCAACTGCTGGACAAGGCACCCAAATGGCTACTGACCTTTTGTCAATAAATCCTAACGCTATCACCTCTGGACGAACAGATATCAATCTTGGAAGTCCTAGGTGAGTTTCTTTAAAAGTTCTTCTAATTCATTCTACTTTATTTTCAGTTAGATGTGCGTTAGTTTTATACATGTAATATTCAAAATTAAATATGTAGAACAGACATTATGTCTAGAGGTTTTCTTGGAAACTTCGCGTCTACTCTAATTTTCTTATCTCATAAACTTACTTTTCAAAATGAAGAAGTTTAAAAAGCATAGAGTCAGTTCAGAAAACCACACCGTTTGCTAACATTTTGAAGACAATTAAGAGAAATTTATTTCATCTCATAGTTCATATCGTCTTGGGTATCCTTCTCTTTGAAGATTTCGTCGATATTTGCTTCATTTAACTTCCTTTGGGGAGACTATTTCAAGATAAAAACTCTTCTTTGTAAGCTCTTAGCTTGTGAATAGTATACATTAATTCACACCCCAGATGAAAATATATAAAATTAATAGCTTACCACTTTACTGTTAATTTGAATAATCAATGTACAGTCTTTATAATTTCATTCTGGAAGCTAGTTTTCACCAGTGAATTCTGCTGTGAGAATTTAGAGATACTTCAATCGTCAAATAGTAATTTATTTATGAAGAAAAGGAGTTTTCATAAATATATATCATTCACTTCTTTTGCTCCTTAAGAAGACATAAACGCCAAAAATCATTTACTTGGGTAGGTACAAAATAACTCATCAACCATCAAAGGATGTTTAGGACTAACATCTAGATTAGGCTTTAGTGGTCTCGCTGAAATCTGTTTTCCGACCGAAATAGAACAGTTGTCTGACATCTAGCCAATATAGATCTGGGCATGCTAAATAACACAACCACCCAACCGTTATTTCAGTGTATTCAGAAGAGTTTCAAGCTGGTAATTTAAAAGTCATCTAGTTCAAATTCGAAGGCAACTCAAGTTGTCATTTTACTTTAAATCATCAATCCAGGGCTAGTTTAGATTATCTTTTAAACGACTTAATTATAGTTAGGAATAAAGGGAAAGTTAACTACAACTATTGGAATGAGATAATCCTTCCAGTACGCACTCATAAATGAGACTTAAAACAGTGTCCTTAGACATTTGCATGTGTGGCTTTTGTATATATATATGTAAGAATGTTCAGTTCTATTTAACTTCATTAAACTTTAATACTAATTTATTAGCGGTATGAAAATGAACTGTACAAGAACTGGTCGAAGAAATGCAGCCGGTAGTCGAAGCGCTGGAGCACAAAAGGATCGTAAACATCCAGTAGAAGTGAGTAGTACACAAATTGTTTATTTAAGAATCTATTTCGATTTCTTGGGTTCATAATTTCATTCTTTAACAGAAAATTGTACTGATGGTAAAATTTAAGGAGGTATGAGTTAGGTGGACCCAGAAGACTAGTTATGCACACGTACATTATAGTGCTTTGATATGATATTGACAAGTACATTATTCAGAAAGGCTAGAGATTCCAGACTCAGTATATTCCTTGATTGGTTGGCTACTTGGATATAATTAGCTTCATGATGTTTAGTTTTAAACACTCTCTGAATTCTATCATTTAGATGTATAGTGTGATCATTAATCTAAGAGAGGTGATCGGTTAGTCCCGAGATATGTCTTCTTTAGATGCTCATTCATGGCTTCCAGATGAACTTTTCTCTACTACACTAGATTTCGGAAGAAACTTCTCCGTACTATAATTACTTTGCATGAAAATTAAAAAAATGCATCGTTCCATTTGCTTCATTTACCTTTCAAGACAATTGTATCTCGGGGTTGGTATTTTCTAATTAAGCCTAAAAGCATCTGTGGTCAGTGTGAGGCTGGTGATTCCCAGTATTGTTTGCGTCTATCTTCTGCAAACGACATTTTAGACTTTATGACATATTTTTAGCTAACGACAATCAGATAATGATTATAGTCGAAGTATATTCACAAATTATTGTTCTATACACTGAAATAAACAACAACAAAAAGTATGTCCGATGACACTGATATTTTGTTTTAAAACGGAATAAATAACTATGTAGGTCTTTGCCGTTTATTTAAACAAAATATACTATAAATGTTTTTCTATAGATTATTCATTGTTAATGTGATTATTGACAATAGAATATAAATATAAAGTAAACCTTCCAGCTGCATCCCGACGCTCCCCCTCCCCCAGACACCTTACACTACCTAATTTTATCATGGAGAGTTATTTGACTGAAAGGCTGTATTGAAATTCTCTATCTAAATATATATTCAATAAACTGTTGTGTTTGGTTGGCATTCAGAACTACTGGATGGTATACAACTATATATATTTTGTTAATTGTTTTGAACTTCAGTGAACCAACCAACTAACTAACTAACGAACACATTTAGAAATTACATGTAACAATTTGTACAGTTTTTCAGTTTATATCAAATAGTCAGCGCAACAACACTTCAGTATGTCTATATATATATAAACTATTAATGTAAACTATTTCAGTGTTTGTTATAACCGATCGATTAGAAACTAATAGCCAAACGATGATGTTTACAATTTAAACCAGCAGTAATAATTATACTGATGACAGGTTTCTATCCTTCTGTAAGGCATAAACACAACACATTTCATAACTATCTACCATACATTATTCAATCTATAATAGTAATAATAATAATAATATTTGTATTTCACTAATTAAAAACAATAGCATCAACAAAATAACAATGAAAGTTTAACAAATCTAAGGTCGTCGGTATCTAGTGTGTGTGTGTGTGATTCATCGTAACTGTTTAGAAAATTATCACTGTCTGTAAAAACCTAACTCTTTTCCATTCTATTATTTAGTATAATCGGATAATGTGCTCATCCATTGATTCTTAGATTTCACAGTGTACATAGAGTTCATTTAAATAACGACATAATGTTCAAGTATTGGTTTTGTAGGGATTTTTTTTGATTGCATGGAGGATTTCATCATGAGCTGACATCAGTTAGAGAACCACTGGAAAACCACCAGAGAGTACTGGACAGCTGTTTCGCCTCGTTTGGGACTCTTCATCAGTACACACCCACCAGCAGGATTCGAACCCAGGACCTTCTGGTTACAAGGCGAGCTCGTAGACCACTGAGCCACTGGGACCCGATCCAATTGTCCTTGAATTCTAACTTCTGCTAATTCACGACATAGCGCAACCATTTCGCAATGTCGCAATGGTCTAAAATTCATCTCATACAGGAAAATAACTGAAAACACCTGGATCCGATCAAGTGAAGATAAAAGAATAGCCCATAGTCTAACGAAATTATCAGCATACACATGATTTCTATATGTGTTTTACAAAGGATGCATAGGCGTTTCCAGTTGTTAGTGCTTTTCTAATGTCTGATTTTCATTTTCATTTACTCATATCTTACAGTAAGTAGTTCAGCTGGTCTTCACAAAACTTCTTTAACAGTCTGTTAAATGTTCTTTCTTAGTTGTTTGATATCCGATGAAATGTTTGGTGATTTTGAAGAATCATTCACTTTTCACAAAGATTGAAGAATACTCTTCAGATATAGTGTAGTCTGTGAACTGTTTCACTAGTCTGTAGATAATCATTTAAGGTCTGCTGGTCACCACACACTGAGAATTACGATTATCAGATTAAGATAGTGCTGATACATATCACTTTTTATTACTAGGCAGGATTTGAGTGTAGAGTTTTCATTTCAAAGACATCATTTTCAAGTTATCATATGGAATGAGTTATTTTGATTGGACACTAGTAACTAGTGTGACGTGTCTAGTCCTTCCTTTGGTGCAGACTGAATTCTATCAGTCAGGTTTGCAATGTGGCCACCATTCTAGGTAGCTCGCCATCACGGTGCACACTGATTTGATGATATTAGATAGTTGGAGGCAATCGGCAGGAAGCCTTGGACCTAGGTTTCGTGCTAGTTGGCACTCGTCAAGGTTGCAGATACGCCTTGCTGACGAGTGCCAACTAGCATGAAACCTAGGTCCAAGGCTTCCTGCCGATTGCCTCCAACTATCTAATATCATTAGAATGAATTATTGACAAATTTTTCTCATATAGAATGTGTGTGTGCACCTGCTAGGTTCTAAAAAGTGTTATTCTTTAGTTCTAAGTTAAGGTTATTCGTGTGAATTGTTTGGAAAATTCCAGCAGAAAAACAAAATGAACGTTGTGTCTACATGAATTACTGGGCTTTTCCTTTTACGTTTGTTCTGTCATTCATTATCTTTTTTACTGTCATAACTAGCAGGGTAAATCTTAAGCTGAGAATATTTCTTTGAATTTAATTCACTGTATTACTGCATACTTGTATCTCCTATACTGCTGTAGACATGGCTGTTTCAGTGACCATTTTTTCAGAGTATGACATTCAGGAGATGTTTATAAAGCTATTTAAAAAGATCATGAAGAGCTGTGGTATTCTGACTGGCACCATTCAAACTAGTTTAGCTCCAATGTATTAGCTTTATCCAGAGGTCAGATTTGATATAGTGTGAGATTTATTCCAGGCCTGTGGATATTTCTCTTACTTCCTAGCATAGCAGTACATGGCTTAATTTTAGTCATATCGACACGTCATCGGTGGCAAAGAGGTAGGATGCTCGCCAACTACGCATGTGGTCAGGAGTTCGAACCCAGGCTGATGCACTCCTTTAACTCGCTAAGCCAGTAATAAGACTGTTAAAGAGGGAAGGTTGGGCATGAGGCTAGCAACCCCATTGCTACCGAAACTTCAAGCCTGTAGCTTGAAGCCCTATGTTCTACTGGGGACGTAAAGAAATAAAATAATGACAATCGAGGGGTAATGAAGAGCAGCTAATCATGATCTTCTGATGGATGTTCTACTTAGAAAAGCCACACCTATTATATGAGTGGAATAATTCACAATGCAACAACACAGTGTTCAGGCTAGAACTGATTTAATTTTACCAAATATCTAAAGGTATTTCTTTTTTGAATTTTTAAAGTCACAAGAAATACCTTACCTTCCTACATAATACATAATTTAAAATAGAACCTCAACGCATCCTTAGAAATCTCTGTTTTTAAAACTTTACTTCTTATAACGTGTTCATTGTAGGAATTCATTGATTCACCGTTACGTTAGTTATTAATGGACAAGTGAAAACGGAGAGGTGAAATTATTGACTGTATACATTTTGTAGTAACTTTTATTCCATCTCATATTCTGTTTTTACCTAAGATTGGTGCCGTAAGATACGCAAACTAACATCAAAGCCATACGCGTATTATTAAACCGGAAATTAACAATATTTATTTATATCATTTATGCAGACTGAATAAACTGTAAATAAACGACTGAAACGTTAGTTGGAACATTTAAGGGTAGTAGACAGTAATCTAAATGTAAATAAATCATCAGTCTTTGTCAATACGGAAAGAATAGTGATTTGAAAAATACGACAAGGTCTTAATAGTAGTTGTAGTAGTACTGTGATTTTAAACAAGCTTCATAGCTCTCTATACTCAGTTCTCATCAACAAGTAATCATCGAGTTTATGCTAGTTAACAAGACCGAATTCATACACTCCTCTAACTATACTGGTCGAATTCTAGAATCCAAACATAAAATTAAGGACTGATCCAAACTAATTTGAATTATTATATTATTTTTTATTCCTTTACGTCCCCAGTGGAACATAGGGCTTCAAGCTACAGGCTTGAAGTTTCGGTGACAGTGGTGTTTATTTTTGCAGGATGGGGTCGCTAGCCTCATGCTCAACCTTCCCTCTTTACCAGTCTTATTACTGGCTTAGCGAGTTAAAGGAGTGCGTCGGCCGGGGATCGAACCCCTGACCGCCTGCTAGGTTGGCGAGCATTCTACCATTGTGCCGCTATGACTACTTGAGTTGTTACAAACTTCTTAAAGTGTTTTATATTCACAAACGTAAATGCAGTGCTTTGCATTCTCAAGTACGGCAACAAGGGTGAAAAGCATTCAAAATGAAAATGAAAAAGACTGTCAGGTGGGAAAAGTATTCTGTAAATAACGTCAAAACATTCAAAACAGTTAAGAAGATGTAGTGATTATTAGAATCTTGCTAGTTTACGAGGTCGCTAGTTTTCCAGCCGGTCCCGAGCCCGGGAAGAGGGGAGGTTAGGCGTGGGGCTAGCGACCCTACACCACTAAACCTATCAAACTGCTACCGAAACTTCAACGCAAATGAAATATATTAAAAACACAAAAAAATATAAAAGAAACTTATTCTTCGCTGGAATCGGAGAAGCGAAATGACACCGCGAGC